CATAACATCTTAAATACCTTGAAATATTCCTCCCATCAAATTGATCAATTTTATTGACCACTGCTTGCAATGCTTTGGTTGCCAAAGCTTTCTTCCGATCATTGCTTTGCTGTTGCTGCATTGATAATGAGAAGGCTTGAAACATACTAGTAATAGACGGATCCATGTACATACCTTGACCTTTAGAAGAACCCCCACGAGAAACTCCTCCCAAAAATCCTTCAAAATTTTTATTTTCATTTTCCATAAATAAAAATAAAACCAAACGAAATCTAATACCTTCCACCTCAAGCTTTCACGTCGGGTTCACCACTTTTGTCGTATTACGTGCTTTCCTGCTCGAGAACGCGCCGGACATCTGGCTGTAGAAGGTAGTATGGAGATTCGCTAATATTCAAACAGTCTATCGGTTTTTGACTATTGGAATATAAACAACTGCAAAAATACAACGTAAATCTATACGGATGCCCTTTGATTGCTCGCTGAAGTCCTTTTTATCCCAGCCGGTAGGTCTCTAGACGTTACAGAGAACCCCGAACAATCCAAACTGCAAATCTTTGATACCGCTTTATACTCACGATCTTATATCCACTGACAGTCTCGTTAGATTAACCCAATAATTTTCATTCACTCCGCATACTCAATCCTATAGACACCCTTTTAATTCTTCAATCACAGACGTAACTTCGATTTCACAAAACAATCAAGAGTAATCACACCCACTTCATTAAAAATCCCGATTCACCATTACAACACTGACCTCAGTAACGATTGCCTCAGTCTTCCCAAAACCCTATGAAAAAAAATCCAATTCTCTCTCTTTTCTTCTCCGAAGCATGAAGCTCCTCTCTGATCCTTCTCAACCTTCCTCAAAAAACTCTCCCCCTCCTTTTCGTTTCTTAACCTCAATTCTGAATTTCTTCAATCTTCAGTCTTGGATCCGAAATTGGCTCCCGCCATGAGAGCTTAGATCCAAAATTGGCTCTCGCCGTCAAAGCGTAGATCCAAAATTGGCTCTTGCCGACAGAGCTTTCTCCTCCGTTTTTACCTTTAAGAGATCCTTTTCATCAAAAAGACATTCCCGGGACGGCACAAAGGACGGATTAGCCTGAAATGGATTCAAAACCCCGTAATTGGGTCCACATTAAGTCGCCCGACCAATTTAGGTTTCATATTGGGTAAGATGCCCGTAGTAACCTAGATGTTCGCATAATTGGGTCAAATTGGTCCTCGCGTCAGATTGTCTAAGGCCCGTAATAAGACCTGGATTTTTGCGTAATTAAATTGCATTGGGTTGCCCGACCAATTCAGGTCTCATATTGGATAAGAGGACCTGGATTGGATGTCTTGAAATTGGATCCAATTGGCTCTTCGAACCAGGCTCACCCGTCGTTGAATTGGTCCTTCCCTTTTCTATTGACTCCCGTTATTGGAATCAAACGGAGCATTTCAGTATGCCCGGGCTGACTGTAACGAGGTGACTGACCCTGGCCTCCCAGTATTTGCACTGGAATTGGTCGTTGCTCCCAATATTCGAGGTAACTAAATATTAATAAAAGTCCCCTTTCTTTATATTTTCACGGTATACTCGTGTTACAAGACGACAACGGGGTGACTGAACCTAGCCTCTCAGTATTTGCACTGGAATTGGTCGTTGCTCCCAATATTTGAGGTAACTGAACATTAATAAAAGTCCCCTTTCTTTATATTTTCACGATATACTCGTGTTACAATATGACAGCGATTGTCGCACTTCACAGCAAACTCAATTGCTTGATTCAATGTTTGAGAATCAGGTAAGTTGAGCATTAATTATTTTACCTCATATTATAATCCATAGAAAAATTGGCTAATAAGTGCAGCATCATCCCACTTGATATCAGTTACAAGTTGTCAAAATTGTAAAGCATACAACGTTATTGATTGATTGCGTTGTTGTAAAATACAAATCTTATTGGTTGCAATACGAATTGCATCATGTTCTCTATACATGGATCGAAACTCTCCCAGAAAAGCCTCTAGATTATCCAATATTGGATCTCATCGTTCAAGAAAAGATGAAAAACCATGATAGTGTTGAGCTTGAAAGAAGCGTACCAATGAATCTAACTTGCGATCCTGGAATAGGATAGCTTTGGGGTTGAAGTTCAATCATAAGTTGCACTTGATTGATAAATCCTCGAAACTTGGATCTGGTGCCATCAAACTTCTCGAGTAGGACAATTCTTGGTTCTCTAACACTGGAAGGGTGTTCCACCATAGGAGAAAGGATATGGTTTGATGCAAATGTTGAAGCAGCTCCAACCATTTCTATATCTTCACTTCCTACCAATGTTGTTACTCCTTGTGGTGGTAAATTGAGTTGATGCATCGCAAGCATTAACTCTCTGAATTGCTCTTACATTTGTACTATTGCATTCTTCATTTCAACGAGTTTTGCCATGATAATACTTAAAAAAGAGAAGATGTCTAATATCGCTCAAGACAAATAGAAGAGAGGACTTGAGAACAAAGAAAATACTATGGAGAATATCAGTTTAGATTAGGGTAATCCGTAACTTCTAATATGCTTATATCTTATCAAGAAAAAAGGATAATCCACTCTTAATCAAGATTAGACAAAGCTCTGATATTGTAGGTGTACTCTTGTCAATCTTTCAAGGACAAGAACTCGATGAAAAAACAATCCAGACAAGTGAGCCTTCATTCAAAGAAATGTAACAAAATATAAATAAATAAGTATGTATGTATATTGAAAGAGAAACTAAAATGGCTATTGCCAAAAGACAAGAAAACTAGAGACCCTTGAAGCTAGACTAGAAGCAAGAAAGGAGTTGACAAGAGTGAAGAAGGCTTCACTCTTGTCTCTATATATATTATTTAACTAGGGATTATATGGCGACGTTCTATAGGACCTCCAATATGTGTTGACTTTGTAGGACACATGCCTTGACTTACAAGACAAGTTTTTCTACGTGTGGGCCACATAATTAGCTTGATCTTCAAGCTAACAACATATGTGGCACACGGCCAACTTGTTGACCACGTTTCTAATCCAAAAAGTCAATCAAAGACACCTATGAAGTCAAAGCAGCATCTATGAAGCTTCTAGGAAGCTACCATATTAAATACTATAGAATTAACTTACTTTTATCTACTTTTATTTATTTCTACTTATTTGTATATGCAATTACTAGCTTATATGAATATATCCGTGATAATAGGTCAGCAAAGAAACACTCGAGTAGTATTCTAAAACAACATTCTAAAATGTATAACAATCTCTAACACCATGAATACACTTAACAATAAGTAAGAACATAACTACATTAACAACTAGATGCAAAAAAAGATTTAGAAGATACCAAACTCTAACATCAGCAACAACCATAAGTTCTACTCCTCATAACAACAAAAAAAACTTCAAAGAACTTCAAAACTTACAACTAAAGCTGAGCGGGCTCATAACCTATTGAAGAAATAGAACTTTGAAGTCACAACATATAGCATCAGGAAGGTTATACATAAAGAGAGTATAGAGTAAGATATCTCTCACTTCCAACATCCAATACTTAGAGGTTGTGATTGCTGCCCTATAAGACAACTTCCACTCTTTGACTTTTACACACATGATCCTTAGTCCTAGAATCCTTTGGTATCTAACGTATTTCGAGGGTATCCTATGGTCCTTGGATCCTTTGGCATCTTACTAACCACAAAGGTATCCTATGCCAAATACTAATTACTCTTATCTAATCTTTGGATATTCCTTTCTTCATACTTTATTCTCTTGACTTTAATTCTTGGTCCTTGATCTCGTCCTATATCTATAAGATGCCCTTTTTATATACCAAGAGTCAACCTTTTGATCATTAGCAACTTAAGGTAATATCCTCTACAAGGTAACTTATTCTACTTTTACTTTTATTTCAATAAGCTTTTTCATTCATCTTATTTATTTACTAAAATTAATTTAACTTGGATTTAATATATAATACAAACAAGATTAAAGTTCTTCTCAATTTTATAAAAGTTATAAGTCTATTGATAACATTTAAAATTTATCAAGCATTTTCTAGTTCTAAGCTTAAAGTAGATTATCTTTGAAACCTCAATTATATACGTTAGATATTACAAATTAGTGCAATAGTAGTTTTAATAAAATAAACAATTGGCACTAATGAATACTATAATTTACATCTTTTTTAACAATAAGAATCTTTTGTATAATTGATATATTAACAAAAATCTTCTTATATATTATTGCAATATGTTCAAAGATGATAAAGAATAAAAGGTAATTATGATAGAATAGAATACTTTAGTACAATTTGCCAATATTGCTAATTTCATGATAAATTGACTATCTTTCAAAATAAACTATGATACACATGTTTTGCTACTCTAATATATTTAGACAACATGGCTACAACATGTGAGTCACCAAATTGACTCACAAGTTGTTTTAGGACAAAAGAATATAATAAGAGTGTCAATCGTCAAGTGTTAGTTGAAAAGGAGTAGAAAAAATGCTAAATACAAGTAAAAAAATGTTAGTATATAAAATATAATTAAATGTAGAAAATCTAGTAGGAATTAATATGTAAAAGGCATCTTGAAGAAATCTAATATAATCAAGATTTTAGTAGTATATGATTTGTATACAATATAAATATAATGTAGATACGGCCATCTTTACTATGAGCTACAATATGCAAAATATGGTATGTGGTAGGATTGATACAACCTAAATTCATATGGTATACGGTATTGATATTATATGGATGCTGTATTGATATGGTGTACATATTTACACCGTATCGCATCCAAACAAGGCTATGTCCGGCTGGATCATGCGTACTCCGGTATAGGACCGGTCGGGTATCGAACGCTGGGCATTGGCTGGGCCGCTGACCTCCGCCTTCGGGGTGGAGGCCCTGCCAATTGAGGTCCGGCTCAAACCCTGCAAACCCCCTTTCTTTTTGTTTTGATTTTCTTGTGTGGGCTCCGATTGCTACGAAATCTTGTGGGTGCTCTTCCTCGTGTGTGTTTTCTTGAGTTCTTGTCTGTACGGGTTGAGGCTGCGGTGTAGTAGTAAACCAGCGTGATCACCTCCTCGCTGCGGTGTGGCGTCGACTTGTGCGTGGACCGGACTTTCCCAGCGGTGTTCTTCTTTCCTCTTGCATTCGACGGCTTCGATGGAATGTGATCTTGTCATCATCGACGGGTCGCTAGGCACAGGTTCTACTACGTTGACTGGTTGGCTTCTCTACGGTGGGGCAGTGGTCCTAACCACTTGTGTTCATTGAATTTTTGTTCTGTTTAGTGAAGGTTGTTGTCGTGCTTTTGATGTTGACGGAACTTAGTTCTCTCAAGCCGTGAGTTTCATGTTAACTCTCACCTACTTGTGATCTTAAGCTGTTGTACCTTGGAAGGAGCTACGGCGGGTTGGTAAATGCAAGTGTATATGCGTAGAATTATCAATATGTGTTCTGTACATAGACAAGCTCGGTGGTGCATTGGCGGTGGTGTCTAGCGAGGTTGGAGCTTGGTTGGTGGAAATTCTTAATTTTTCGTTGAAGTAGGCAGGTGGACGTTGAAGGCATCGAAATTCTCAAAAGAGGGAAGTTAAGAGCCGTGGCTGAAGTCTGCTTTAATACATTGCACTTGCACTCCGACATTGACCTAGAAAATTCTTGGTGGTTCCAGCATCGTCATGAGAAGCGAAATCAAAACGCGGACGACTGCAGTGGATGCTGGGTAGAACAACGCATACCATCGTGTAACCCATCAGACATCTAGCAGGTTGCGGCACTATTGTTGAAGCGACGCAGCGGTGTTGATTATGCAGGCAAAACTGAAGCAGCAGTGGTTAGCGAAAGCTCTAGATCTTTGTAGCGAGTGGAGGGTCATCTCGAATAGTGTTTTGACTCTATGTCAAGCCTTCTTCATCACGTTGCAATACAAGCAGCTATACAATTTGAAAGCTCTGCAGTTTTGGCATATGTGCGATAGTTGAGAGACTACTTATAGTTTTGTTTTCCTTTAGTTCATGAACTTGTGGCGACAAGCTATTTGTGGTGGAGGGATTTGATTAAAGGTAACTATAATAGGCAATTCCAGTAAGCTATCGTAGTCCTCCTTTTATCTGGAGAAGGCAGGCGCTGTTGAGGGGCAACCTCGAGCTAGAGATTAGAATTAAACATAGGTAGCTGAGTAAGTTAGAGCATCTCTAGAAAACATTTCTCTAATTAAGGAGAATTGGTTCCAACGACTAAAGTAGCCACAATAGTGGATTTCATTGTCCTGACATTGCATATCTTTGTATTGATAGAAAACGACCATTATCAGGCTAACCATTAGTGGATCCTAGAACTTGATGCAGCGGTGCAATCTCTAGAGTTTTCTTGACACTCGAAAGACAAGAGTGCAAGGTCATAGTCAAAGACTCTTCTCTGATATCTACCTCCATTTTGTGAAAAATTCCAAAACAACTGTGTGTAGTCGAGAGTAGAGAGAGTGGAATTTGACCTGCTACTACTCATCTTCAACGTCTTCTATGCAGAGCGAGTTGGACTCTGATGTTGGGCTTGGGTGAGCTGCATCTACATGTTAGTGGAGATGTTGAGGAGCAAGCTGGAGAGAAGGCCCAATCAGTGGGCTGTAGACATTGAATTCCATCACCTCATTTTATTATTATTATTGTGCTATGAATCGGGAATTATTATCTACACATCTCAGACGTTGGACACATTCTGTGAGAAATTCTGAGGACCATTGTATAAACACCATTCATTTATTAAGTGAACGGATTGCATTAGATCAATAAAATTGAATTCATGGATAAATTTTAGGTCAAGTTGGATGAAATTTGAGGTAGATGAAATCTCATACTTGGATGATAAATCATTCATGGATGAGAATTTTCCTTAGATGAACTTTTAGCTTGGATGATTTTTTTATCAATAGATAAAAAATTAAAATTAAAATTATACTAAAATAATATAAAAATCATAAAAACCAATTTTCTCTCAAGTGTGTGTGGTTTTATATTATTGAGTGGCTTGCATTATTGAGTGTGGTTGTTTGAGTGTGAATTTAATTAATTAGAGAAATTAATTTCTCTTAACAAGAAATAAGAAGAATTTTTATTTAATTACTTTACAAGTTAATTAATAGTTGTGAATTAGAATAAATCACCTAGTAGAGTGGATTATTTTAGCTTTAGTCCTATAGCATTCCAATTATTATAGGACTTATTGGATATTAAGCAAATTTTAATTGAAGATTATTAGAATAGTAAATAAGTAAAATTATTATGAATGGAATAAATTTCCAAGTAGTCGGGATTTATTTTAGTTCATACAATATAAGAATAGATTTTTCTAACCATAGACTTCTAAGTTCCTACACCTTGGCTATATGAACATATCTTTAATTAAATTAGGAAATTTAATATTAAAGAAATATATTCAAATATAAACTAAAAATCTCAAAACTATCTTCAAAAATATATGATTGATATTTAAATATTACATTGATATGTATAATTATTGTATAAACTTAAATAATATAAAATTTTAATTATTGTTATATAGATTATTTATAAAATATACTAATCTAGAAATTACCATCTCTATTATTAGAAGTTCTATATAATGGCCTTACACATGATTCATACAAGTTATATAATATGTTTCCTTATCTTCATGTATTTTTTTCAATTCAATAATAAGACCTTCATCTATTATTATAACCTTTAAGGCTAAATATCTACAAAACCATCATCAACATTCAAAAAAGAAAAATATACAAATAAATATAAAAATCCCATCATTTTTTGATAAATTATCTTTTAAATTCATAAAAAACCACCATCTCTTGACAAATCCAAAGTATATTAGATTCCTACAAGAAAACCTTATATGTCTATAATTCTAATCCATAAACTTATTTCATTATGATTTTAGCTTATTTTCTTCATTATATTTGTGCAAGCATCCATATAAGTTTGCATGCTATTATCTATCTTTTTTTTTACTTATTACAGCGATATTTACATGTAGGTAATTTGACAAGAAAGAAAAAGAGAAGAAATATAATGACAATAAGAACAAGCAAGAAAGAATTGTAAAAAGAGATAACAAGAGGATTGGAAATTGGATCAATTTAATTGCAAGCAAAGACTTCAACAAGTAACAATATATCATATAAAGGTCCAAATTGTAAAGTGGATGGTAGCAGATGATGTTACTAATAGTAAGAAGTCAATTTTATGCATAAGGTTTGTTACTTTTTGAAAAGCTTTTGTAGTAAATTCAAAGCAAATTGCATAAAGGCCATTCAATGGAAAAATATTATTGTATTGTAATTGTTTATAGTATGTAAAAATTAACTAAAATATATAATATATTTATAAGAATTGATGTGTATTAAAATGGTGAGTAGGATAATTTAAAGAGAGTTGATTGTAAGAAAAATTATTTTGATATTTATTTATTTTTATTATAGTATTTAAATTATTTAAGATTTAAATATTTAGTATAAAATTTAAAGAAAAGATTGGAGTTCAAAGATGAAACCTCTAAGAAGCTTATTTGGAGGAATACAAGCAATGCCCAATAGGCTCTCAAGAGGCTATCTATGACCATAACAAGGATTTTAGCAACTTCATAAGTAAAATTTAAAAATTAAAAGTAAAATATGTAAGATTTAGAATTTGGACTACAATTTGTGTACAAATTTTAGAGGGTTTTGAATTAAGGTGATGAAATTATAGATGTTTAAAATTAAGGTGTCCTTTTAAGATACACTATTTTTTTTTTTGAGGATATAAGGAGTTGTATGATAGCTTTTGGTAATTAGATGATTTCAAGACCTATGTCTTAACAAAAGAATTGATATATTTAGAGTTTGTATAAAGAAGTTATAGAGCATTGAAGATAGCACATGTACTTCAAAGGCAATAAGTGAGCCATTTTCTTGATAGTAATGGTTGGAGCAATATCTTGAGTTTTTAGACGAATTTTTAGGTCAAAATTTCTAAACATATGTATTATTGGGTTAAAAAGATATAAATATAAAATTTATGGTATTTAAATACTTAATTTGTGAGATATAAAGAAATTTGTATTAAAATACATTTATGTAAGGATTTGAATCTATTATTAGAATTTTGATAATATCTCAAGGTACATAATGAATTTACAATTGAAATTTATTATAGTAGTTGTTTAAAGTATATTAGTATTTTATATAAATTTTTAGTTTTTTTGGATGATTTGATTGTGAGATATGATCTATTGAAATTTTTTAAAAAATTACCTTAAGGATATATAAGGATTTAGAATATTTTTATTATATTTTGGATATTCTTTGGTATTTAGGATTTAAGTATTGATGTAATTATCTCTATAAGAAAAAAATTATATGTATATATATATATATAGTTAGTACTTTTCTATCTTGAGATTTAATTGAGCAATTAGTGATAGTCAGAAGTCTATTACTTTTTTAAAGCAAATTCTCTCTATTCCAACATATTGATGCTTCCATTGAAAGAGCCTTAAGATACTTAATTTCTCAATAAGTTAGGATAGAGGATAAAACCTTAGGATTTACATTATCAAGTGGGATGGATGCCTATGATTTATTCATGGTATTTGTTCAATTTATAGCAAAAAGACAACATATGCATGAATGGAAAGAAATACCGCCAAAGCTTTATAAGTAGTAGTGGATAAGATTAAAAGGTTTGATCGAAGAGACATCATTAAGTTCATAAGGATTTACACATATTAAATGTAAGTACATCAAGTTTCAAAAAATGAAGATGATTACCACCTTTGATTTGGTAGTAATACCATAAATCACAAAGAAGATGCAAGAATTGCATACTAAGGCTATATTATGGAAGAAATTTGAAGAACTCTTTAAAGATAATTTTTTTGAAGAAGATTCAAAGAGAATGATAAAACAAACCTTTTTGGAATAGATTGAGCAAAGGCCAAGAAATCAAATGGCTCAAATGAATCAATTTAAAAATTTAAAACTAAATTTGGACAATTGCTATGATAAGAGAGGCAGATCTTAGATATAAGAAAAATTAGATTATTCTTACAAGCAACTAATGAATACGTAGAAGAAAATTTGTTCTTTTATCTAACACATAAGATATCTGAGAGTGGTTTTATCAATAATTGGAGGCTAGTAAAAGAGACAGTGGAGCTTTTGGCTAAGCAATAAAAGATTAAGATTTATGATTTAATACTAAGATTAGAACTAGTGCTTACATCTCCAAATCTAGTGCCACATCAAAAGATGATCAAGATTGTCAAAGATGACATTTTTCAAAAATTGATCAAAGCCATACAAGATTTGACAATAAAAATGACCAAATTGAAGAAATTCTAAATAGCAAGCTCATCAAAGATAATTGAAGGTTCAAAGGGATTTGTAGAAAGATGTATATGGTCTAAAAATCCAAACCACAAGCATGGTGAGTATCATAGTTACAATGCTATAATCAAAGATAGTATTGTATATTTTAAAGAAGGTAAGATAAGACTCATATGACCAAATGAACGTTTGAAGACTAATTTTGAAAATGGTGGTATAAAAAAATTGGTGGAGGAGAAAACATCAAAGAATAATACCATATAAGGGAAAGAAACAAAGTCTTACTTTATTATAGTTGAAAAAAAAATAATTAAGACTAATTCTTTACCAACTATAGAAGCCATGATGAGAAAAGCTTATGCTATCAAGAAAATAACTAGATGAAATGATTCAAATGATGCTATTAATATTAAAGAATTTTTAAGTAGGAATAAATATGATGATGATTTTCATGATGCTATGGTTGAGAAAAAAAGACGTAGAGCTATTCATGAGGAGGATATTGTTAAGTTTGAAAATAAGAGGATGTCTCCAAGGAACAAAGAAGCCTCTAAGGAATAGAAATCAGAGAAGATACCTTCTTCTATTCATCATGGTGGTGCATCATTACCAAAAGAGTAGTGGAAAAAAGAACAAAGATAAGGAGAAAGATGATATAAATAAATCTAAAGGTAAGAATTCTACTTATAAGTTTTAATCTTACATTAAGATATCTACACATATAAAAAGTATTTTAGAAGAGAGGATCTTAGATACCAAAATTGAATTCACTCTAAGAGAGACTTTTGGTATAGTTAAGAAAGATTTCTATGAGTTGATTATTAATGTGATAAAGAGAGAGAAACAGATGACAGTTGAAGCTATTATGATAGAAGCATTAGATATGTGGATAACTATGAATAAAGAAGAAGAAATAGGGCAAATATTTGTACAATTTGCAATGCCAAAAATTAAAAATAAGATAGATATGAAAGACAAGGCTTCTTTTAAACATATTGAGATTATAAAAAAAGCATCAAATCGAATGCACATCTTTATAATCTATAGAGATAAAGAAGATTGTATAAGAAGTATGTATAAATATTTATGCTAAATATAATAGTGATCGAATAAGAAGTAATAGCTATTCAATTTCTTATTAGACTAAAGCTACTATAGAGATATATGTGAGGTTGGAAGACTCTAAACATCCAATTTTGGCCTTAGTTGATCATGGATCTGAAATCAACATCATATCAAGGTAGATATACAAGAAAAATAAGTGGCCAATTGATATCAACCATGGTTGGATAATTAGAGTTGCAAACAACCAAGAAGGTGATTTATATGGAGCTTATCCAATTGTAAAGACTAGGATTGGAGATGTAGAAGTGGAGCAATATTTCTTTATGCAAAACTCTGCTACATATTCAAGAATATTTAATCAATCTTATATTTTAGCTGCTAAAATGGAAACTAAAGTTTTAGATGATGGT